TTTGTCTGATGTTTTCTCATGGTAGAATTACGCACCTTGGGCAAGAAGTCTCCAGATTGACTCTTGTACCCTTCTCTGCCCATCCTACCACAGGACAGATGGGGGCTTCTTCCTGCGGGGGATGTTGATATTCATCACTAGGTCAGCATGGTCTGTCAGATTTCTCCATTGCATTAACTATTTTTCCCTTTGTAAAAAATATCACAAGGAGTCACTCTGAGACCAGATGCAATATCTCTGGGTTTTCTTCCCTATCGCTACCAGTGTCTTTGAATTCCTTAATAATCCCAGGTGATATTGGGCGCCATCAACTTAGCAGCTATATGATAATATATTACAGCCCCAATGGGAAATGAATACCTTTCCTCAAAGAATTATTCAACCTTTGTTTTTTTCAGTTATTTTATCAAGATATGGATGGTACTGTGTAACATCTGAAAGACTAATTAAGCAGTGAGTTACAAAAACACCTGAATTTTCTAAATCTTTACCAGACATGGCATGTAGAGTTGATATGTCCTTTTTAATTCTAGAAAATACAGTACTGCCTTGGTTTACAAACTTAATCTGTTTTATGATTTGAGGGGGAAATGGTTGCCTTTGGGTTTGTGTGAGGAAGATGGCCAGGGTTGTATTTGTCACCTGATGTAGAGTTTGCAAATGGAAGCAAACTTTTGCCGAACATTTTGTTTTTGAACCAAATTGTTTGCAAACAGAAGCATTCATGGACCAAGTATTACTGTGTAACTGTATCGCTGTATATGAGTAAATCAGATATCAGATGTGTACTTATTGTCTTAGTTTTCTCCTGTTGCTGAGACAGAGCACTCAATACCCAAGGTTAAAGGAAGAAAAGTTAACTTAGCTCACAGTTCGTGAAAGTTTAAGTCTATCATCGGCTGGCTCCAAGGAAGGGTAGCACGTGGCAGAGGGGCAACAGTTCATGGTGGAGGAAAACAGCAAAAGCCACAAGAGAGAGACAATGCAAGACAAGCCTCTTTCTGTCCCTTTACTGTATCCAGGGCAGTGCCAAGCCAATCAGTGGACTGATCCAGCAATCACCCACCCTTAATCCCAGCATTGCACCACCAATCAATCACACACTCTAGATTCAGCCACCTCTGAAAAAGGCCCATCTAAAGTTGTAAGAGGCTTTGGGGGGACAGCTAGACACAAACCATAACATTTATTCACAGAAATCTCCCCAAGTGTCATCATTTACATTATCTTAAATTTCTAGAAGTGAATGAAAGGTTGTTAGATAAATGGATTTAGAAAAACTCTGGTGTTATATAATTAAACCTGAAGTCAATAAATAGGGATATTACAAGTGCCTGCATTTCTTATATCAGGTGATGAATGACCTGTGATATTATTGGCAGGTAAACCAATAATGCATGAGACTTTGCCATTTCTTGCCTTGTAATTTAGGATGATTTCTCAGAGCAATAATTAATGAGCTTTTTGGTGGCTGTGTTTTGGTTTGGTTTTTGTTGTTTGTTTATTTGTTTGTTTTTTAAGGCAGGGTGTCACTATGTACTTAGTCCAGGCTGGCCTTGAATTTGTGGCAATCCATCTGCCTCGGCATGTGCTCTGCATTAATATTTTCTTGGGGGCAGCATCCTGAGGACCACTTCCCAGGGTCCCACCTCCCTAGGTCATTCCATGGGGATTAAGTTTCCAGCCCACCCTTTTGACTGGGGCTTAGGGACACTGAAATCACAGCAGAGCTGCAGGGCCGCCACACAGCAGCATGGCAGGGTTTTTCACTGACATGGAGTTTGACAGAGAGGGAGAATACGAAGACCTTGACGACTGAGGAACAGAAGGCATCTGCAGGACAACCCTGCCCCTCCCACCTGCCAGCTGCATGACCTCGGGCAGTCTGACCAGCCTCTGCACTCTGCTGTTCTCTCCTCATAAAACCTGGGAAGAGCAGCACGGAGTGGCACATGGGCTAAGCGAGCCCGCAGATGAACAAAGGGCTCGTTATATCCTTCTCTGTCCTCATGCATCTTTGAAACTTTCTGTAACAAAACCACTAAAAAGAAAAAAAAGAATGATCTTCCATTGTGGCAAGGAAGGAATTAAATGAGAGTGTGCAACAAAGGGCAGGACTGAGTGCTCAGAGACCGCAGCCACGCTCCAGGTTAGTTAGTAATTCTGAGGACTTGGGATGCCCACGCCAAGACCAGTAAGTCTCACCTGCCAGCTCTTGGTCCCAAAGTATTGCTGAATGGGCTTCAACCAGCTGCTGGAACTTCCTCTCCTCCAGTTTTGCGAACGACCTTCAGGTCTTTGTACCTCAGATTCCTCCCCTCTCACCTCGGTCCATGGCCGAGAATCTCCCTCTTCGGGCTTGACACAGCCATGTTCGTTGCTGATGCCTAAATTCTACCCTCCACCATATGCCTCCCTAGAGCTACTTGCTTTATATTTGACTCTGCTCTGTCTCCCCGGGGGCGGAATGAAAAGGTTGTTACAGCCAGGCAATCTGAAGGGTGGAGCTGGAGAAAGTGGTATTTGATGACTCCAAAAAGTTCTCAAGCCACCTTCTCAAGGGAACGTTCTTATTAGAACAGACCACTGCGACGCTCTTCAGTGAGCAGAACATCATGAGGGCTCCAGGGTGAGGTGACACCCCTGAGCACTGGTCTCATTGTCAGACATTTACTTCTTTTACAACAGGTTTAGTATGGACAGTCCTCTGAGACAGGGTGACAGGTCCCTTTATCCAGGACCAGTTAGTGAGTTCTGTACCTCCAGGTCTAGACTTGGAGCTATCTGGGGACCGTAGTGCTCTCTGTGGTGCCCTTCCCCAAATGCAACCATTATCTGGGAATATGCCATTATTTGGAAAATGCGCTTTTGCAAATTGGTCTAAGAATGCTCTGACAAATCCCTTAGGAGAGAAGAAGGCTGTGTGAAGACAAGGCTAGGCTCAGGGTGGGACAGACACAAGTCAAAGAGAAGCCACCAGGAGCTGGAGCCTTCACAGGGAGAACATGCCAGTTTCAGACTCTGAGTCTAGGGCTGTGTGAGAATCCTTTTCTGTTATTTGGGGCTGCCAAGCTCAGGTGACTTGTCCAGGAGACCAGAAGTGAAAATAAGGAGTACTGACGAGAAGGATGGGCTGAGGAGAGGCGATGTCATGTGACATGTCATGTGATTCTGCAAGGCAAGGCAGACATTCCCAGGTCTGCCGTCTCCAGCGCCACAGCCGAAGCAGCCCAGGGAGAAACTCCAAGTCCCTGTCACTCTGGGAATCCAGTGGACTTGAGGCACTGGCTGATCTGTTCAGGTCCAGCAGAGCTTGTCTCTTCTCCCCCACTCTGGGTTTTGTTCTTCATTTATGCATCCCTGTCTGGAGCTCTTTGCCATGCTTAAAAGCTCACACCAGTGCAGGCTCTGAGGTTGCAGGGCGGTCTTGTACTGTTTCCACAGTTTGCCCAATGCCTACCGCTAACACGGTAGCTTGGAGGTGCTAAGTATTGCTGGAATGAAGGATTAAATAAGCACACAGAAGAAACAGTTGCCTTGGCACAGCCAAGGTATCTGCTGCACCCAAGAGATCTGTTTGGTTCTGTGGATCTGGGGTGGGACCTAGAACCTTTCCCAAACTCCCCAAAGATAGTAGAGTTGGTGGTCTGGGAACCACACTTGGAGAACTGCTGTCTAGAACAAAAGTGCATCTACAGAGGCCGGGATTCCAGGTTAGGAGCTCAACAACAGAAGTGCCAGCCCACAGAACTCTTCCCAGCTGGCTGTAGGCGAGTGCACGGGGAAGCCGCTTCCAGAGCCAGCTGCTCTTCAGATGTCTGCAGCCTCCAGTCCTTAGGCAAGCTGCTACCTGCACGCACCAGTTAGGCGAGGGTGCGACATTTCCTCCTGGCAGCACCTGGAAGAAAGCAGGGCAGGTGCAGGTCCCTGAAGAGGAGCCTCTGTTTCCCCCATACATATCTCCCACCTGTGCAGCTGGTCACTCCTAGGGCTTGGGAGATCCTGGGACAGGTGAGAGGGCTCACAAAGAGGCACTATGCCTCACGCAGTGGGCGTTCCTCACCACCACCACCACCCCCCTCCACAGGAAGGAAGTTGTCACCCTGCCACCACGTGGAAGAGCCCTGAGGATGTTACACCAAGTAAAAGAAGCCAGTGACAAAGGGCAGACTACCCTGAGGTGTCACAGACACGGAAGATAGAGGTGGTTGCCAGAGCTGAGAGAGGGAACTGGGCAGGAATGGGGATAGTGTTCGGGTTTGGGGAGGTGAAGATGTTCTGGACACGAAAGCAGCAGACAGTGACTCATTCAATTAAATGTGAATGCATTTAACCCTGTTAATATCCATTTCAGAGTTGAGATGGCACATTTTGGGGTATGTACCCCTCACTTCCACTTTGAGATAGATGCCTTCGTTCTTCTTTTTCATGTTCCTCCCTGTGTTTGCACAACTCAAACCTCAGGTCTGACAGAAAAGTGAAATGGTTATTATTTTGTTTATTCATCTTTCTTAAGGAAAGGAAAGGTAGACTACTCTGGAAATGTTTTCAACCATTCAAACTCCAGGTAAAGCCACATACACTTGTATGCACCCACGCACGGACACACAGACACTAATCACACACATGTACATGCACTCACGCGCAAACACGTGCACATAACTGTCACCCATCAGTGTACACAGCCCCCCAGAGACCTAACTCACATGCACAGAACTGACCTGGTGACACCCGCTTTTGCTTCCCCACACAAAGGAACCTGAGTACAGTGGTTTTCAAAGCATGGCCCAGGACCCGCAAGCGGCAGATTCTTCACCCAGTCCTAATCTATCGAGTCAGTGGTTGGGGGCGGGCCTGGCGCCCCAGTTTAACAAGCCCCCCTAGCTGGCTCATGGCCCGCCCCCGCCCTGTCCCTCCCACCTCCCCAGGCACCTGCCTCCTGCTGGGGCTCAAGAGCGAAGATCTCTGCCCCCTGCACCCGCCCTGCGATGCGCGCGGCCACCTCGGAGGGTGGAGCTGGCCAGCTCCGCCTCGCACACCTCCACACCTCCAGCTGCACAGGTAGCTGGCTGGGCAGGGCCTGGAAACAAAGTCGGACCAGCTGGCCGACTCCTCGAATTCACCCGGAGCCCTCGGAGCCGCCACCATGGGTACGTGCGCCGCGCGGGGTCGCCGGGCGGAGCGGGACTCATCTGTCCCCTTGCCGGGTGCAGATGGCGGAGCGCCGTCGGGGCGCCCTGGGGCGGCCGCGTTGCGGTCCCTGGCTTCCCCCGATTCTGGTCGCCGTGGTGCCTGAGCGCCCGGCGGCGGCGCTGGGGACCGAGGGCTGACACCGCAGCTAAGGGACCCACGACCACTCGTAGGTCTGCGGGGCCGGGGTTGAAAGCGCGCGTTGTCCTGCCATGTCTCCTGGCTTTTGTGGTGGGGCGCTGCTAGCGCCCCGAGGCGCCCCAACCCGGACGTTTTGAGGAGGAACCTTGACATGCCCTGATGGTGGAAACTCGCCCGCCTCCCTGAAGCCTCCTGCACTGTTGTTGTACCCTTGAAGTTGGACTGAGCTGGGCAGGCGATGGCAGCGGGCACGATCCTGGTGACTGCGGGCCAGCCTGACCCATGTCTGTCCTGTGGGTGCCTGTGGCTGCCTTCCAACTCCTCTGCTGGCGGGTGACTCTGGAGTTCCAGAGGGACCCCTGGTGCAAGGGGAATTAAAACCTGTCACGCTCTCCTTAAGCTCTGCCACTGCCCCACAGTTCTGGGGAAACAGTAGCAGCAAAAGGCTAGGAGGCCACTTGGCTTCTGCCCTGCTGCAGGGCAGGCGACTGCAGAGTTCCAAGAGGGGAGATCAGCCCAGCCCTCTTCTCCCTTGTGATGGGTGGCTGGTCAAAGGACTGGATGTCAAGCCCTGCCCTTCTGAGCCGACTCCTGCTTAGGTGGAGAGAAGGTACTCAGCCTGGCCTGCCTGCTTCCTCCCGCAGCCCCCACTCCCACCCCCGCACCCTCCTACCCCGCTACCCTATATTCTTCCCCAATAAAGTAAACTTTGGGGTCTCACTTCCTCCAGCGCTGCCCCCTAGAGGCTTGGAAGTAGCAGCGAGCAGTTCCCACTTTGGAGGCTTGCATGTGGCACTGCGCTTGCTCCAGAAAGATGCTTCGAGTGCAGGTTGAGTGAAGGCAGGCAGAGTTGTGAACCAGCTCAGCTCTGCAGACGCTCCTGGGCTGGCGTGCTGGGTCTTCTCTTATTGCTTATTGCTCTGTGCAACCTTCCTGGCAGCCACTTTGGACTATTTCTGTGGGCTTATGATACCAGATACCTGGAAAGTATCTGTGCTCAGTGAAAATCCGCAATCATGTTTAACACTTGTAACCACTTAAATCAGGATAGATGTTAAAGGCAGAGCCCTTTAATGACAAATGAGTACAAAGTTGGCTGTGGAAGTGTAGCTACAAACATACTGATACTTTCTGGTTTGCAAATAGGTCCTTGAGTGCTTTTTGTTTTTTGCAACTGAGATTGGCAGAGTGTGCGAGCAGTAATAGTTTATGTCTGGACGCCAGTCTGATTTTTATTAAAGTTTCACCTTTCCATATCAAGGCTAAATGGAAAGACCTAGTTTTAAAAAAATGTTTTTAAGAAAAAAAGTTGTGGACTCGCCTGCTTGAGGACAGATCTTCAGTGCTTAGATTATGCCAGAATCGTTTCAGATGATTGGTAACCAAAGGTGACACTTGGAATATTTTGTCAAATGAAGAAAAGAGCCCGAAAGAGTTCTCAGAGGAATCTGAGCCTTGGGCTGAATGCATGGGCGCTGCACTGCTGCTCACGCTGGCTTCTTCCTGTGAGTGAAGGGGAACACTCAGAACCATGCCCCCGGGGCGTTTGCTTCTTCTTAACAGAAATGATAAGAGCCCCAGCAGCAAAAACTCCTGCTCAGGATGCTGTGACACACAGCCGCACCTGGCATCAGGAGTGGTCTGGGATATTTCCTGTTTAAAGCCGGGTCAGTCACCTCTTCTGGTAAAGCTAGGTCGTATGTAGGTGCTGTGGTCTTTGCAGGCCACACGGTCCCTGTGGCACCTTCCTACCTCTCTCCTGGGCGTGTGAAAGCAGCCCCAGGCCATGTATAACAGGTGGAACAGTTCCAATGATATTTCATGGGCACTGATAGTCAAATTTCATGTCATTTTCATGGACTGCAAAAGTCTTTAAAGCTTCTTTCAGTCACTTAAAGATGAAAATCAGATCCAGGCATGGTGGTGATTCTAGCACTGGGAAGGCTGAGGCAGGAGGATTGCCTCGAGTTTGAGACTAGCCTGGGCTACATAGTAAGTTCAAAGGCAAGCCTGAACTGCGTAGTGAGACCCTATCTCAAAATAAATAAATAAATAAATTTTAAAAATACAAGTCAATCTTGTGAGCCATACAGAGATGGGTGTGTCTGTTGACCCTTGCCTTAAAGTACTATCTCTGTGCATTTTAGTAGGCAGTGGAGAGAGGGCAGGCCTCCTTCCTGGGCTGGACTGGTTGGGTGAGATCTCAGCAGACACAGAGCTTTTCACAGCTGGAAGAAGCCCCGGGGAGGAGAGAACAGCCCTCCAGGCCACTGCACACTGAGAACACATTTGCTGAGGGTTTGCTCTGTCCTCTCCTAACTCCATTATGCAAAATGTAGCAAGATTACCTCTCAGCCTTGAGCTGGAAAACAGAGACCTCATTCTGCCACTGTCCACTTACTGCATTGGACTCTGAAAGTTAGATCTGAGGGCCAGGTTCTAGGAAGCAAGCTCCTGTGTGTACTGCTCAGCCTCTGGGTTCTTTGAGAAATTCATTCCCTTCATGAAGGATCCTTTGTCCTGTGCTTGTCTTCTGGATCTCGGTCTTGATGCTGGCCTTGGTTAGGTTTCTGTCTACTTCCTGCCTGAGTTTTTTTTTTTTTTTTTGTCTTTTTCCTTTTTATCGGTACCAGAGATCGAACTCACGACTGCCTGCTTGCAAGGCAGGTGCTTATGCCGCTGAGCTAAATCCCCAGTCCCCCCTGCCTGAGTTTAAAACGATGATCTGGCTTCGAAAGTGCATCACACCCAACCATGTAAAAGTCCTTCCACATTTTCTCCTCTCTTTGGGAACTCTTGGGTCAACCAAAGAACAGGCTGAGTGCAGGGAGGCTGGTATCCCACTGCAAGCTGGAAGGGGGTCTTTGGCATACAGCCTTCAGCAAGCCCTTGCATCCCAGCTGGCAGCAGGAGACAGATCCAGCCCTGGCTTTTCCAGTCTAATGGCAGTGGCAGCACACTAAGCCAGTGGCTTTCAGACTTGAGCACACTCCAGGCTCACAGTCTGTTCTCACAGTTGCTTTCCCCACCCGCTGAGCCTGTGGTTTATGAGGACTGGGTGGGACCCAAGGATGGACATCAGGACAAGTTCCCAGGATGCTCATGCTGCTGGTCCCAGGGCCACACTTTGAGGACCATAGCTCAACTTGACTCAGGTCACAGGGCTCTCTTTTTGATCCTTGCCCACTAGAACAGCCTGGCCCTGGCTTGTCCATGTGGTCCATGTCCATGGCAATGAAGCTTTGGGTACATTCCTGGTAGAAGTTGAAAACTGGCCTCTAGGTGCTGTCTGAAGAGTCTAGACTGAGTGGAAACGGAAGTGATAGAGTCAGTGTGGTCCAGCTGGGGCTAGTGGGGTTGGCCTGAATCACTTATTTTTACAGGTTTTATTGCCCGTGTAGAGTGTAATAGTTCAGCCTAGGAGAAACTGAAATCCCGCTTTCCCTCTCTGAGTTATAACTGAAATTAATAAGACCCACAAAAGCAGCAGCGAGCAGTAACATGGCAAAGTTGGAGCATTTGCCATCTTCGTGCTAAACTTTCGCATCATCCTTCTCTACAGCATCTCCTGAGTAGCACATCTGACTGTTTTGCTCACTTGGGTTTTCCGATGAGTAGTTTTCCTTTTGCCCTTTGGGTTACCGCCATCCCGTGTGGAGCAGAGGGTAACTGATCAAGGACATAACCGATGAGGTCAGCTCCAGGGGAGCTTCCTGGTGAAGGGCTGCCACTGCTGTAGGATAGCTGGTGACAGGGGATGACAGACAACCGTGGAGCCACACACAGAGGCTGGGACTCCCCACCCCGCTGTGCCCCTGTGTGTCCTTGCACACCATGGCATCTGGGTCCTGTCCCTTGTAGGAGGGAAAGTGGGTAGGTAAGTGAAGAAAAACAAGGGTGAGGCTGGAGGACCATCGCCACATTCCTCTGTGGTGACTGGGAAGAGAATAAGAGCAGCATTATCAGGAGATGAGTGATGACTGGTGGCGTGTAATACTGCAGTTGCAACATAAGGAACCCGGACTCTGTTCTGTCGCTTTATCCCTTGGTTTACAAGCACAGCTGCCATCACAGGCAGCACAGAGTTGGAAGGGCCACCCCCGGGCACGGGGAAGAGGGACAGGGTCATCCCCAGAGCCTTGAGGAGGAGCAAGGTCTACTTCCTCCCAGATGGGTTCCTCCAAGATTGGGACAGGCAGAGACTCTCCCCACGGGACTGCCAAAAGGAGTTTGTCATCAGAGGCTGGAGTTAAGTCATCCAGTTATTGCATGGGGTATGTGAGGGTGAGCACGATGTCCATAAGAAAATTCTGGTTTAAGAATCAGATGTAAAAGAAAACTAGAAAATTCAGTGTTCTTAGATAAGAAGGCCTCTTAAAAGTTCTCAGATCAAAGCATTTGGAATTTCTACAGTCTGCCTGGGGTGACAAGATTGCATTGCAAGCTCCATGGGGTTCTACCAGAGGCACATTTGTACATTTGAGGTGTTCTTGGGGAAATAAACCGTAGAACTCTGCCCTCATTACTTTGTGTTGCTAAAACTCAATACCTAACAGCATCACGCACAGCTCTAAGGAGGGCAGGTTTATTTAGCTCACAGTTTGTAGGGGTTTCAGTCCATAGTTGGCATGGCAGAGGAGAAGCACTTGTGGCATGGTGACAGAAGTGGGGAGTGGGCTCAGAGGACGAGGGAGCGAGGCACTGCCAGGCTATGCCCCAGGAACCTACCTCCTCCAACCAGACTGCACCTCCCAATCAGGTGTAGCTGAAGGCTCATCCATGGACCAATCCATTGCTGGTTATCACACCTGTGACGCGG